TTCGCAAATAGTTAAGGATGTGGGTTGTTCTAGTTTTAGGGAAATGCGAAGTTTAGCTCAGGATAGGAAAGAGTGGAGGTACGTGTCCAACCAGTCTTAGGACTGATGACCTTATGATGATGATGATGATGATGCAGAAGTGAATCCAGAAATAAATTGACAGTGACAGTAGTGAAATAAATAGCGCAGTGACTAGTAATATATATCAACAGTAGTGTAAATAAATAGAATAATTCATAATCTAAGTTTAGTAACAATTTAATGGTGTAAATAAATATTCTTTGTCGTTATCAGTCTTAGACGTTAATTTTGATAAACCCAGGAACATTACAGTACCGTCAACCAGAGCTATTTAATCGAGCGAGCAAACCTTAAGGAGTTAAGGCCGACCGGCTTCGTAAATGAAAAATAATTAAAAAGTAAGTAAATACACGGTTTTGAGTAAGAATATGGACTCATTTGTAAGCTTTGTACAGCAAAAATGTGATCGTTGGCTTTTTTCTTTGTTAACATCTGTTTTTAATACTCATCTGACAAAAGTTCAAGCATGCACAATCGGTAAAACTTCTTTAGGGTCGATGGGAGTAAAATCTCAAGGCCATGAAACGAACCGTTTTGCAACGTCTTATCTGGCGACGCGATTGGCTATGAGAATAGAAAGGCGCGCATGCGCATATCGATATTACGGTCTGCTGTTAGTGACCGGCATCTCATATATTATTCTATACTGTATATTCACTATACTATAGGGCTAAATTAATGTTTTGGTTAAATCTGTGCAGTTATATTACAGTAAGTGTATTACAGTAAATGTTTATTTAACAACAATTAATATTTATTTAAGAGTTTGTGTTATTATGTATTAATTCTAATTCCTTGCAGTTATTGATAGTTTACGGTTTCTTAAGCACTTCGAAAAATAAACAGAAGCGATAAAAATTTGATCATTTTTTTGTTATCGAATTACATAAAAACGTATTGAAGTAATACTCCTTAGGTGGACTTAAAATTAAAATATGCTGGAAAACATAAATCTTAAAAATTCTAGTACTCTCTCTTTCACCAATCATTACTTATTCGTTATAAAGGTATAGAGATCGCCAAAGAAGTTTCACTTCTTTGTTGCACCTGTTTTTTTTTTTTAGATTATGTAGGTGGTTTTAGTTTTCGACTTAGAAGACCCCACTGCTTAAGTGGTAGCTGTGCAAAATTCGTTTCTCGTACTGGTACGACTAAGGTATTGAGAAATTTGTTTAATAATTTACTCAACTTTTTATGAGGTAATAAATATGGTCAAAACAGAAAATGAAGTCAATAAAATTAAAAAAAGAAGGAATGCAAATGAAACTTGCACGAAGAACAAAAAAATAAAAGCTAAAGAATCGTGCTTATGCCAACGATCTAAGAAAGATCGTGAAGAAAACATGATCCAGTGTATGTAATGGAAAGGTTGCATGCATGACCAATGTGTTGGCGTTGGCAGTAAAATAAAAAAGTATATTTGTAATGTCTGTGTTCGATCTCAATAATTTTCTAAGCGTTACTATGTTTTTTAAGAGACTATAATTTTATTTTCTGTGTTATTTACTTAGCAATTAGATTTGGTTTAGTAACTGGTAACCATTTCGCGGAATAACGTCGCTCTGTGTGCGCGCACGCATTCACGATGAATGAGACAAGCTATTTTTAACAACTTTCCACTGGCCATGTAACAAACAGATAATGCACAGGAATGAGCTGTATGTATACTTCGTTTACTTTCTGTAGCGATGTGACCTTCAGTTTGACAGGCGCAAAGTAAAAAAGAACAGCACTAGGCCAGAAAAGGAAGGAGACAACTCGCGGCCAAACTCTTAACCGGTGAGGAGCGTATAAACCGTATAGTACTGCACGGAAAAATTGACTATTTTATCCACTAAAATTGCAATGCTCAAATGTGCTGATATTGATACCAATTACTACTGAAAATATCAACGAGATGTTTATTTTTATTTGAAGACATATTAAAGGCTTTAATGCTTGTTTTCGACTCGCACTACTATTCATGATTAAACAAAACTTTCGGCAGGTACTGTATGAAAAAGTTTGTTTAATAAACAAGAGTCAGTATAATAACCTTTTATCTCCCTACCTACGATTTTGCCAGCGCGCATACAAGATATTGGAAGGGGCACGCGGCTAAAGAAAGTTAATGAAGTATACCTTCCTTGCAATACTACTGTTAGTAGCAATATATGTAGATAGCGATTAATTGTTAATAACTTGATATTAAATCGTTTTATGGTTTTACATATCTTTTAATTAAATACTTAGCTTAAATACCCCACGTTGTAAAATCTTGTCGCTTTACATAAATGAAATTCACATTTTGTCTGTAAATGCGCCACTCCTTTCTGCAATGACGCTTGATTAACTCATTATGTAGTTCTTGATAGTAGTGATTTCGACGTGTTAAGTAAATGAATACATTTTCAACTAATTTATTGAATCTGTATTTGTAAACGTAATCGATTTCCCTGGTTTAACCAATTCTATATTCTGCTAACTGTACTGTTCCACGTAGGTTGAATAGCAAATTGATTAAAGACTATTACTGGGAGAACGCAGTCAATCTGCCACAGCAATCTAAGATCTGAATCCTGTCTTTCTTCTAAACTACCCCTCTGCTTCTCAATCTTCAACAACCTTAATTGTTACTACCTTTACTGTCGATTTCAAAAGTGACCGAGCGGCATGGCCTAGAGGTTTAGACCATTGCTTAGCATTCGAGAGGACGCCGGTTCCGGGTCCGTCTGTCGTAGTCCAAGTTTCTCTATGGTTTCCTTGGATGAATTAGGCAAATGCTGGGGCAGTAATATTCCACAGATACTCTTTCATTCTCTTCTGTCTTCATTTCGTCCGTCTCATATTAACCACCCGAACCACCATCCTGAAAGCAGGCTGAAGAGGGCCTCCTGCCTTACCTTCCGTCGTAGTCCGGAGGGACTGCCCGCCCACCAGCATTACTGGCTGGTGGGAATGAAACATTTTTTTTTATTTCAAAAATTAGTTCTTCTGAGTTCTTCTGTTTCTTTTCTTCAATTTAGTTATTTAGTTTATGCATATATTATTGTAATTGTTATTGTTATTTTTTGTTGTTGTCTTGTTCCTGTTGTTGTGATTATTAAATGTCTTAAAGACGAATTCTACGTTAGTGTTTTATTTCTTTTTATTTCATCGCGCCATAGCAGTTCAGTAGAAAAACCAACCGAAAACACTACAAATGTAACGCCTAACAACTTTGCTGGAATGTCCTATTAACCTTCAGCAAACGATTACTTACTTTAAATTATATTTAACAAACAACCTCTAATTTACTTAATTATTCAAAATCAGACTTCAACTACCTACATAAGTTTTATATATTGTGGGATTATATTTTCATCGGTAGACCTGCATAGATATGTATAATTTAAGAATGAGAATAAATGAGTAACATAAGAATTTAATCAATTCTACCGCATACCCCGTTACAAATTTAATTTGAAGTATAGGTACGTAAGTTATCTGGGTAATTCGTGCTTCCATTAAATTAAAGTTACCTTCAATGAGCGTGTAATTGATTTTGTATTCCTTGCACATTTCTAGAAGAAAGAGTGGGCTCAGAGAACCAATTAGAGAAGGTCCAGTGTTTTCAGAGATGCGGTAGTTAGCTGATTTCCAGAAGCACAAATCACCAATAATTAAATTGCATTCTAACTCCCGGTCAGAAACGGTTATTTTCAGTTGAGTGGAATTGCTTCTTCCTGTCTTGCTGTCTTCGACATATGCGGTTGCGGAAATTACTTCCTCGTCTAGTGCTGAAACGGAAATTACGACATTAAAGGTAGTGCTTTATATGAAAATTAATAAGTACTTGTAGAGAATATAAATACATTCCTGACATTAATGAGTTAATGAGTATCGATGTACGTATACCATTACTAAACGAAAATCATCGCCACTGTTTTAGAGTGTGTACTGATCTTCAAACATCCTAATTAAAATTTTTAGAACAATGTACACATTGACAAAGCATTATTTCTGTTGAAATAAAAGCACAATAGACAAATTAACGATTTATTTAAACGCAAAGAGTTACTTTGACATTTGTAATTTTTAATAGTGGTTAATATGAAATGTTAATGTGAAAATTGAATTTAATTCTCTATCCAGTACAAACTATTTCAAGTCAATGACGGAAAATTTTTGTTGCTGCTGCCAGCTCCCGCTGGGAATTTAACGAGCCGTCAATGATTGAGAACAGTTGCTAGTTTGACAGGAGCGTTATCTTACCACCCTTCGTTATTGTAAACGTCAGGAAAGTGCCAGAACACTCATACCCACTTGTGACCTTCGCAACAGCTGGTACACAAACAGGTCAATTGCACGTGTGACGATCATTAGTAGTAGCCTGTATTCCGTAGTTATTATTCGATTGACATGGTTACTGCTCATCATCATCATAAGGTCGTCAGTTCTAAGACTGGTTGGACACGTACCTCCACTCTTTCCTATCCTGAGCTAAACATCGCAATTCCCTAAAACTAAAACAACCCTCATCTTTAACTATTTGTGAACATACAAAAAAGATCAAACAAAAAACAATGTATTTGAACGTAGAATATGCGGACATGATGGCCACGTATGGAAGGTACAATGAGAATGCATTGGCAGTATTATGCGAAATTGCGTCATCATTGTCGGAGCAGTTGAGGCTTTCGGAAAGGCCATTACCCTCATGTTTATGTATATAACTGAGTGGTGCGAGATGATTCATTCTGTTTCTTTTTCATGTACCTTCTTTTCCCTTAATTTTTCTGGATTTAATGACCTATGACTGACAAATTGACCCAAGTCTAATGACTTCGACTGTCTACATACATACATAGTAATATAAACCTAAAACGTTAAAAGAACAAAGAAATATTCTAATCCGGCTGTAAGCATAAACATCTTTAATCACACTTAATCTACCCTAGTAAATAACAAACAATACATGAGTAAAAAAATACAAAAGAAATACAACACGGATGCTATTAAATAGCAGCTAGGTATTGAATGCCGCTTTGCAATGTCGTATTTCTTTGCGTGATCCTACCAGGGCCTGGCAGAGGTCTGCTACACTAGCAACGCAAAGTTAGAATTGTACAGAGAAGAATGGAAAAATGGGCGAAAGAACTATTAGGGGAAGATCAATTTGGGAATAGAAAAAACAGAGGAACGCGGGTGGCAATTCTAGCTTTAGACAGGATTTGTAGATATAGAAAAAGCTTTTGACAATGTTAAATGGACAAGATGTTAAATATAGTTAAAAATGTAGGGATGAGCTACAGAAAGAAGAGTGATACTTAGTTTGTACAAAGAGAAGGAGAGAAGTAAATATTAGGAAAGGAGTAGGACAAGGATGCATACTACTTTTTAATCTTACACTAGGTCGACATATTATGGCAGAAACAGGAGATAGGAGGGGTAGAGGTAGACCTAGGTTAGATTACTGTTCGCAAATAGTTAAGGATGTGGGTTGTTCTAGTTTTAAGGAAATGCGAAGATTACCTTAGGATAGGAAAGAGTGGAGGTACGTGTCCAAACAGTCTTAGGACTGACGACCTCATGATGATGATGATAAAGGTCGAGTCGCCTTCAATAAAATGACGTCACTTCTATGCTCGCCATCAATTTAGTTAGAAATTCGAAAAAAATTGTTAAATGTGTATGTTTGGAGCACGGCGCTGTACAGGTGCAAAACACGGACGGTGGGCGCAGCGAAAAGGAAAAGGTTTAGAAGCGTTCGAAATGTGGTATTACATGCGAATAATGAAGATGCCGTGGATAGAGAAGGTTAGAAATTAAGGGATATTTATAAGAATAAGAGAATACAGGACTCTATGGAAGTCAATAAAAAATAGGCGAGATAGGTTGGTAGGACACCTTCTCAGGCATTAAGGTCTAGTTAGAGACATATTATAGGCAGAAACAGGAGTTAAGAGCAATAGAGATAGACATTGATTAGATTACCCTTCGCAAATAGTTAAGGCTGTGGGTTGTTCTAGTTCTAGGGAAATGCGATGATTAGCTCAGGATAGGAAAGAGTAGAGGTGCGTTTCCAATCAGTCTTGGGACTGACGATCTTATGATGTGGATGATATTCATGATATCAAAGTATTTATTGAACAATTCGGCGAAATAAATAAAAGCATCTGGAATAGTTGTACAGTCACCTTTGCAGTAAATGTTTTTTAATTTTCTACGAATTGAATGATTCCTTACTCACGTGAAAGTGCAGTTTGAATTTTTTGTAAAACGTTTCACGCTCTAATATTCGAATGCAATTTACATTTACTACATTTCAGGTTGATTGAAACAATGGAAGCCCGCATCAGGAAGTACGAAAAGTGCTTTCTGAAAAAGAAGACCCACTTTTGACTGCATTAAGAGAACTTTCTTATCAAGAGTTTCACCCTATAAAACATTCACTTAATCTCCGTTTTAACTCTTAAGGACGAAATGCTTCCACTTACAATTATTTATTTAAGGGTTTAAAGAAGTTTCCTTCTGTTGATGTAGAGAGCAGAATATTTTGTTCTCATTCGCGTGAAAGGAGGGCTATTAAATTTATCTGTTATTCATGATAGCAGTAAACCAAAAGAAAACGAAAATGCGGTGGAAGATCTCACTAATAGAAAAACAATTGAGACAGGGGAAGCACTAATAAATGTATATTCTAATTTAAGGATTTAAAATTACTTCAAGTTGAAACTGAGTAGCTCGATCACTTTCTAACGTTACCTTGCAAATTAATTAAACTTTTAAGGAAGAAAGGAAACTGGATTTAACTTTAATTTGGTTATAAGCGGTGACACCCGCAGCCATCTATCTTCCACGAGAAGTGGACGCGAGTACAGAGAGTTACGAGGGTGGATTGATAAGTTTCCGGCCTGACCAAGAAAAACAAGGTTTTTAAAATTTTTTTTTTTTTATTTCTCAACATAATCTCCTCCAAGGCTGATACATTTCTCATAGCGGTGTTCCAGTCTATTAATGCCATCTCTATAGACTGATTCGTCAAGCTCCTCAAAATAACCATTTACAGCTTCGATTACTTCTTCATTGTCCGCAAATCTCTTACCGCCAAGCCATTTTTTGAGATTAGGGAACAGAAAATAGTCACTCGGGGCTAGGTCTGGAGAGTAAGGAGGGTGCGGCATCAATTCAAACTTTAGATCGTTGATTTTAGCCGTCGCAACGATTGACGTGTGCGCTGGTGCGTTATCGTGATGAAACAAGATTTTTTTCTTCGCCAGATGAGGTCGTTTAATTTTCACCTCGTGGCTCAAACGTTGCAATAAGTCTGCGTAGTATTGACCAGTGATAGTATTACCCTTTGCAAGGTAATCAATGTATATAATACCTCTTGCATCCCAAAAAACAGTAGCCATAACCTTGTTCGCCGAAAAAATTGTTTTTGCCTTCTTTGGAGTTGGTTCCCCTGGTCCAATCCACTGTTTAGACTGTTCTTTGGTTTCAGGAGTGTAGTGGTGGACCCACGTTTCGTCAACGGTTACGAATCGACGCAAAAATTCGCTTGGATTACGCTTATACAATGACAAATTTGCGGTAGAAATGTTTTTTCGAATCAATTTTTGGTCGACTGTTAGCAAACGCGGCACCCATCTTGCACAGAGCTTTTCCATATGCAAATGTTGGTGCAAAATATGTTGCACACGTTCATATGACATCTTACAGGTCTCAGCTATCTCACGCACTTTCAATCTGCGGTCTCCCAGCACTATTTGATGAATTTTTTCGATCATATCTGGAGTTGTGACCTCAACGGGGCGTCCTGAGCGAGGCCCATCAGAGGTGCTCACACGACCCTTTTTAAACTCGGAAACCCACTGCTTAACGGTTGAATATGACGGGGAGGATGTCCCCAGTGTTGAGTCCATCTCTTTTTTAATTTCCTTCGGCGTTAACCCCTTCAAATAAAAGTATTTGATGACAGCACGATTTTCCTGCTTTTCCATTTTTACGAAAACCACAGAGGCGTCTTGTTCAGCGTGCTGTCAAACCTACACTAGCAAGGAGATCGGGCTGAAACTATAGCTACAAGCTATCCAAGGATGGTACTATAGAATGTCACCTCAAGGTAGGCCTAGTGGCGTCATCTCTTGGTTAGGCCGGAAACTTATCAATCCACCCTCGTATGTCCGCCGTAGCTGCATCAGTGTATCATTGAACTATTCTGGTGTAATATGTATTCGCTTTGGCGATATGTAATGACAGACATTGGTTATTTGTTTTTTATTTACCTTTGTTCTGTCTGAACAAACTATTTAGTACTCGAAACATCAATACATTTCACGCATTTTCACTGCTTATATAAATACAATAAATTAAAAACAATATCCCAGCGTACAACTGTAAAATAGAGTTTCCATAATTTTGAGTCTCGATTAAAATACATTGAAGGAAACATCATTTTTGAACACACATGTCACTAGAGAATTTAAAGAAGAATAGAATCCTTATGTAGGTGCCTACTATTGGGAAAAATGCAAAGCAATAGAATTAATAAGATTACCTATGATAAAGAAGTTATACCTTCGGAGGTAAAACCTTTTGAATTAGATGAATATTAATCCTTTGTTACATTATTATAAGATAGTCGATAGAAAAGGAATGATATACACTGAATAAAGAAGCATCTAATTTTAATAAGCGGATTATAATAACAGGTGCCAATGTAAAATTAATAAGTACCTGTATAGTTATAAATATATCCCTGGCATAAATGAGTTAATGAGTAAAATGTTATTTTCGAGATGAGAAAACTTCTGTTAAAAGCACAATAGACAAATTAACGATTTATTCAAACACAAACAGTTACCCTTACATGAGTCTGAATATTAAGCTGCGATAAAAAACAATGCATCTATTTCTAAGTGACTTTCTGAATAAGGCTATATAAGAAAAAACTAAATAATACAATTTGTAGTAAAGAAAAACTTGTACACGGGGCATAAGCGAATTATCATAACAGGTACCGATCGCGTAGGACAAATTTCCATTCAATTTCCATTAAAAAAATGCCATTTAATAATTAATGGTAATAAATGGAGAATTGCCAGTGGGATTCCCATTCCCGAACTTAATGGGATTTCCATTGCTGGACGCAATGGAAATTCCATTGCTGAACTCAATTGAAATTCCATTGCGTTGAGCAATGGAAATCCCATTGCGTTCCATTGGAACTTCATCAGCATGCTTTTTTCCATAACCCATATTATTTTGCTGAGAATTTGGTTTTTCAGGTACCTGAACCAAGGCACATGCCTGGATGTCTAGCTCTTCATCATTGTGTTTAGATTTTTTTTTCACTTGCTTCTGATAAAACTACATCACTCTCACAGATGACTTCGGCCTCCTCTATATTCTGGCATGGTTCAAAATCATCAAACAATGCTTCTAATGTAGGCTTTTTCACTTGTCTAGGGGTTGTTTAATAAAAGGCTCCGGGTAGTTGAATACATATATAATAAACATAATAATGAATATAAACAGCAAACAGCAAAACGAGTAACAAACAGGAACTAAATATATACAACTTATATACAATATTCAATGTATCGCGTCTTCCAAAATACATACGTCTTCGTGTAATCACCATAAATACGTCTTCCGTCTTTTTTGAGCAAAAATGCTCAACGTCTAAATGAAATATACCGTTTTAATCAAACATCTTACCACCTTGCTTGTCTCTCACTCTACTGCCGTGGTGGTCCCTCACGTACCCCCAACATGCACGCATAGGTAAAACTAGATTATTGATTTTCCACCACCTAATTGGCAATATCACTACTCTTGCACCTGGGCAAGCAAAAACTGTATCGAAAAAGGCTAATAGTATATGTGGCCAGGAATTATATTGTAAATGGAAACAATTATTTTTCCATTTATGCCAAATGGTTTTGAATGGAATTTACAAATTTTCCATTGATTCCCATTGAAGTTCAATGGAATTTTTTTCTACAGGGAATTATTGTAAATGGAAACAATTATTTTTCCATTTATGCCAAATGGTTTTGAATGGAATTTACAAATTTTCCATTGATTCCCACTGAACTTCAATGGAAATTTTTCCTACGGGATGTAATAACAAATGACACACAGGGCGTGAAACCATTTTACTGTGTCACGACACAATTGTGATGATACAATGTGTTGAAACTAGTGGTAAGGAAAATCGGTTTTGGTCTTGTGAAATTTACGAAGTTGAAGGAAATTTACCTAAATAAAGGATGAAACCCATCACACGAGCTTTCAACGTTTTGGCATTATGTTCGCCGACCTGCAGACTGTTTTTATAATAGATCCTAACCATTATTAAATGACAAAGTGCTTCAAATATATAGACACATCTGTGACCTAATAAGTACGGTTTGTCATTGTTTTTGTTGTTATCTCTCGTAGCTTACTGGTCAGAGCATTGGCGCACAAAGCCAAAGGTACCAGGATCGATTCCCGGGGAGAGGGTGTGACAACAGTAACAAATTTTTCCTCGTTAAACGAAGTAGTTTATAATGGGCAAAAAATTGAAAATGGGTTTTCTCATTATTATTTCATACTAACCATTATTAAATATCAAAGAGTCATATTTATCCTATTATTAACATAAATTTCAGTTAACGAGCTTACCTTGCTTGTAATAATACTCCTTCCTTAGCATAAGATCTCCAGTGGAATGATACATCTGTAAATAACCCTTTTCATCGCTGACATTGTACCATAATTTATGAGCCGTGTCATTGTTCATATTTTCGGGCAAAGCGTAGAGCACAAGCAGAGGATAATTTGATGCTGGAAATTTCTTTTTATCTCCAGGTAAAGTGAATGACAAATCCGTCATGGTGAAATATACCGAACATACTGTAACAAAAGAAAATTAACATTAGTAGACTATTCAACACTTTTATTATACGGTAGCAAATAGAAATGAGGGATTATTAATAGTAAAGTGGTACTTTGCGGATTAAATTTAATAAGGAAAACCACCTTTAAAAATATGTTGACGTTATTTTGGGCTTATACCCATGTCGTAGTTGTCTACACGAGTGATACGTAACTTAACAGAACATTGAGTTGTTGGTCACTGACCTGTTTAAATTCTCAGACGTGGATAACGATTTAGATCCCTTTGGTTTAGCTAAAGTAAATGTCTGTATACCTACGTGCCCTCACGTGGTTTTAATACAGCAAAAACTTTTGCGTGTTTCATTCTTCAGTCTGTACTCTGATACAAATCCGGAGATGAAGATGGAACAGGTAAAATGAAGACAGAAGGGAAATGAAAAATTATCTGTCAATACTACTGCAATGGTGTTTTCCTAGATGATCTAAAGAAATAACAGAAAAACTTGAATGAAGGATGATTGGTGTCCTCCCAAATGTTAAGGTAGGATTTAGACTTCTAGATCCCAACACCACTTAACTCGAATAAAACAATTCGAAGTGATCTATACTCTGTCGAAACTGCCAGACGCGGATGACGATTTCGATCTCTTTGGATCTCATCAACGCGTTGCAGACAGTTCCGACAGAACACAGACCAAATTTTACCTGCTGTCTTAACAGCGCGTTTTATAAAATACCACAAATGGCGCGGTAAAGTGGTCTGTATTCGAACTATTTTATTCGATTATGGTAACGTGCCTATCACGTTGAGGTTAGCTACGCTGGGATTCGTTTCAACAGGTACATATCCATATATTTAAATGGACCTTGTTGGTGCATACGTAATCCTAGAATGTAGCATCGTACTACAGATGGCGTTTACTGCGCGATTTGTGGTATTTTCGACCACTTAACTCGATAATCAGTTCGAGGCATCGTCGACTTATCGACACCGTTAAATAAAAGAAGACCTAATCAAACATTGATAATTTCTCAACTAGTGGATAATCTGTACAAATGACATATTCACAGCTGTTTAACGACAGTAGGTAGAATGGTTGGTACTCTGTCTTGTCTAACCAAAGATCCTTATTATGAGAAAAAAAAATTACGTTTTTTACGTTTTTTAAATTTTTATTACCTTTTCCACTCAGAAATCACCGAGAGGTGAAAGAATTATTGTGTTGGTTGGATAAGGTCAGACAAATTAGGAAACTTATTTACGTTTTACACTCTCTCACCCCGCCTCCCAGAAAGGCTAACCATTTACCAAGTACATTTCTCAAACTTTCAAAAAAATATAAATTTCTTGGTCAATAATTTATCGCAACGATAGAAGAAAACGTGGGTTCCGATTTCGATCTTATCAGCGCGCCATAAGCAGCTTTGATAAAGCATAGTTAAATCAAAATTCCTCCATAAAAGCAAGTTGCTATATAGCAAAATCAAGCCGCTTGTCAAATATTTTTGAATATTGCAGTTAGTGGCAAATAACTGTAGATGGTGGTACAGTGCCTGTTCTTTGATAGTGTGCTAATTCGATCTTATATAGGGTGTTTCTAAAGTAAGTAGCAAGCTTTGGAGAGAGTTAACTAAATGCAATATAGAATCGTATGGTGAGTAAAGCCGCGCAATTAAGGGACAAACAAATGTTTAAGAAAAAAGTTGCAATCCGAAACCGGCCCTAGGTGGGAATTGGTAACGCATAGAGAAATCGTGATAACAACTAAACAGCTACATCGACGAACATTGACGGATCTGTTGTATAAGTTTCAACAGCTTACTACTAAGTAGTGTCCGACCGAAAGTTCGGTTTCGGTTTTGGTTTCGGTCGAGTTTCGGCAAAAAAACGAGTTTCGGTTTCGGAGGCAAACTTGCCGAAACTACGACCGAAACCGAAACTGCGTTCGGGAGTTCTCGCGCTGTGCTCGGTCATGTTCGGTGCGTTAAATTCCATCCAAGCGAAGTAGATTAGTAGATTATACTAATAAGAAATAACGATTACTACTTGAAATTATTAGTAGTCGTCGCCTTTTGCAATATTATGTTCACGATTAGTGAATAATTTAGTCGTTTACCTTTTATTTCTGTTGAAGTTTAGTGTCATTCAACATGACGAATTAAGTTTAGAAGAAGTTAATTTGTTCTTAATTAAGATAAAAGTGATTTATTTTGTTTTGTTTATTACTTAAATATTAAGTTCCTATACCTATTGTGATATTAGGTAACAATAACAAAAGTAATTTTATGTTTAATATTATATAAAAAAAAGCATGAATAATCTTCAAAAGAAAAATGAGTCTAGTCTACTATACTTACTCAAATAAACATCTCACCTATTTTAAGTATTTTTAAGGCGCAATTAAAGTATTTCCTTAAATGAGGGGTTGTTATGTTGATTTTGATTTGATTATCAATAAGTGAAAATGTCAAAGACTGCAGAGCTATGTGATTTAAAGATAAAAAATAAAACTGACTGATTATAATAACGTTTTCTTTATTTTTCTCTCAAAACATGATCCTTTCGGTTGCGGTTTCGGTTTCGGCCGAAACTGAGACCGTTGCCGAAATTCGGTTTCAGTTTCGGTCGTAAAAACCAGTTTCGGTCGGACACTACTACTAAGCATTGCGAAAAAGGTTAATCAATCAGCCACTTTGTTTATCTCTGATAGTATGTAGTACCGAATACTAAAAGTTCACCTCCATATGGAATTATGAACACAAAAGAAAGAAAGAGTTAACGTTACGTCAACATTAATGTAAATAGGTAAATTAATATCCACTAGTTAGATAATTCTAATTTTATTAAACTTCTAAAACATTACTGAAGTGTTGTCAAGGTGCGTTATCTTTTTTTGTGACTACTTCCCCAGTCCTATCTTCCTATCAGAAATAATTAGTTACATCCATACATACGTACACAATAAAAGATATTTCTGACAATGAGTCGCATAAAAACGTCTCGCATTTGGCGTATTTCATCCGCAGCGATCACAGACGCTCGTGCAAATCATTTACTTAAGAAACTGTTCGTCTAAAAACTCACTTATTGGTCAATGCAAATACGTTACCATGCTATACTGACTTATGACACTAACATACTGCGAATAACTTCCACTAACTACATAAATACAAGTCTGTAACGTTGATAGAACATAGAATTATTCTAGTCGGGTTGTACCTGTAAAATAAACGTCATCAATCATACTTAAACTAAATAAAAAATGCATAAGTACAGAAACACAATGCGGAAGCTTCTCATGAATAGCTGATTGAATGCGGCATTGCAAGTCGTATTTCCGTATGTGATCCTACTTACAAATAGATACGATTTCTCGAAAAGGCTGGGCTTACAGACCGTCAAACATTTACTTAATTTCTTGTTTTATAGTGCCATACCGTTTCTTACTAACTTATTATCCTACTTATTTCAGAAACACCCGTTTAAGGTGTATTTGAATATATTTTTTTCAAAAGTTTCATCTTCTACTAATTTTGAAGAGGTAACTGTGTGTCTTTTAAGCATTTTGTATAAAAATTTTAAAGTTTATACCCTTTATTTTCGTACATTTAAAGGTTAAACAGTACCTTCGGAATAACTTATTAAGCGCTACTCACAAGTAGAAGCGCAGTATGTGTTTGCAAAAGGGACAGACAGGGTGGGTGTCTCGATTTAATAGGTTTGACATTCGCACGACTGTTTCTAAAGGTCAACGGACACACTGCGGTAACCGAACTGAATTTTGAAAGTGAACGGAATCCAAGATAGCTTATAATTCTAACAATGACAATATTAATATAAATCAAAATATAAACCACTATGGTATGCCACAAATGTAATAAGCGAGTGTTTTTAGTGTGGTTTAACCACATACCTAATTCATTTTGTAATTTTATAATGGTTTTGACAAAATTCTTTTGAAGTGTAACTTCTTTGGGCTCGATGAGAGTAAAATCTCAAGGCCATGAAACGACACGTTTCGCAACGTTTCGTCTCGCGAAGCGATAGGCTATGAGAATAGAAAGGCGCGCATGCGCATATCGGTATTACAGTCAGCTGTTAGTGACCGGCATCTCATGTATTATAGTATAATGTATATTCACTATACTATAGTGACAAATTAATTTTTTGGTTATATCTGTGCAGTTATATTACAGTAAGTGTATTACAGTAAATGTTTATTCAACAAGAATTAATATTTATTTAAGAGTGAGTATTATTATGTATTAATTTTAATTCCTTTTAGTTATTGATAGTTTACGGTTTCTTAAGTACTTAGAAAAATAAACGAAAGCGAAAACAATTTGACGTTTTTTTTGTTATTGAATTACATAAAAACCTATTAAAGTAATACTCCTTAGATGGACTAAAGATAAAATACGTTGGAAAATATAAATCCTAAAAGTTCTCGTACTCTCTCTTTCTTTCACTAATCATTACATATTCGTTATACACGTATAGAGATCGCCAAAAAAGTTTCACTTACGAGTATTTCATGTGTACCGAGTTCCACATGTTGTTTTTTAATTTTAATTGTTAATTAATAATTAAAATCCTGACGTGTTGGGGTCAAAACAACCTCGAAACCACTCAGAGTACATAAACAGACCCCCAGGCCGATTTCTTTTTGTGTGGCAGTGTTGTAGATTATCACTAATGATAAACCGCATCCATTATCTCATTATTTCAAATATGTTATTCTTTTTTTCTGTAACTGTAACTAGTTATACCAAATTAAATCGATTTATTGTTTTCCTATAGTTATTTGACGCACAATTTACCACCTCATTTCTTGGTAAGGGAATTAAGTACCTACAGAAACGAGCTGGGTTATTTTTCTTATCTATTCGTCTATTGAGGTTCTTTTTACCTTTGCTTGATATTTTATTATAATGTAATAATAATAAGTAACATTAAAATTGTTCATTTTAGTTGTGCTCTGATAATTTGTTCAAAAAATTCAAGAACCTATATA